ATAATAAAGCTAGTCTAAAACGAGACTATCACGGCCCTATATCAGGTTCCTTGGATTTTACTTTAAAATGGTCCTACCAAATTTTTGAAGATGATTTAGACAGGTAGGATTATATTCCAGAACTACAAAGACAAATTTCAATTAAATAGTGGGACAACTATAAGAATGATTATCTAGATCTGGTTAAAATCTGTATGAAGGCAATTCCGAACTCTTCACCAAAATCAGATATGGGATTCTCCGACTACATTGCTCTAATGCAACAGAAAAATCCCACTCTGTCAAAAGCAGAGCTCAGGAGAAAATTACTCTTTGCCCTGGAAGAAAAAGTAGAAGTTAAAATACCAACTTCTTCAAATGATACAGAAACCGAAGATTTGGATCCTCCAAATGAAGATGATTATATGGGGATATTTTCCCAACTAAATTAGATAAAATATCAAGGACAGTACGACTCCATCACCATTCAGGACACGTGTCCCAAAAATGACGGTAAAAGAAGACTGTCAACACATCAATCACTATTACTATAATAAAAGAAGTATTATTGCCGACACTATTGCTATAGTAAAAGAAGCATTATTGCAGATACTGTTGCTACAGTAAAAAACGACGACGTGAAGGAAAAGACATCTTACGTTGTCGGTGCGGACTTAAGAACGTTTGGAATCCGCTCTTCCCTCTTCTATAAAAGGAGAACCATGCCTCAGAAGGAAAAAACCTTGGGATTTCTTTCTACATTTTATAACTAAGGTTTTAGTAGGTCTGAGTGATTGTTGTAAGTTTCAGTGGTTTCTGAGTGATTGTTGTGAGTTTGAGTAATTTCTGAGTGATTGTTGTAAGCCTAAGTATTTACTAGTACTTTAAGTTTGCCTCTCACTTCTATTTCGAGCTTTCATGTAAGTGCCTATCTCTGTTTCGCTTCTATACTTCTATTATATTTTATAATTTAATGCTATTATGTTAGAATGTTATTCTTTCTATTTAATGAATTTTATTGATTCTCCTTCCGCAAACTTATCTTGGGCTTGAATTGTCAGAACTTCGAAATCGAATTCAGACATGGTTGGCTTATCAGGCTCAGTCTGAGAAGAGATGGGAGTATTTACAGTATAAATTGGATGTGGTACTGGTTTTTCAATTTTTCTTAATCCTTCTAAAATGGTATTGGTTTTTCAATTTTTCTTAATCCTTCTAAAATGATTTTGTCATCATGTGCTTTTTCATAATTA